GAAAGGTTGCCTACCCCTGCTTTAGAGATCTGGGAGCATGTAAATTCCCCCAATAGGGGAGAAGGAGGATTCTCCTTATTTTCAAAATTATCAGCAAGAGAAGTACATGGAAGTATGAGGAAGTACTCATGTATACCATGCAGAGGCTCACAGTTATCCACCCAAACAGGCAAATAGAGGCTCTCTTTTCTGTGGAGTTATTTTTGTGCTGACAAGCTCTTCTTCTCCCCAAATTTATTGTCTTTACTGAAACAAGCAATTTCAGGCAATATGACTGCTCTACAGTTGCTTGTACAGTGATTCAGATAGCATCCTGTCCTTAGGCTAGTTGCCAGCTAGGTTTTTCACAGAGTACTCTAACCAAGAGTCCCATTCCAGAGAGTAAGCAAAGCTAGGCAGACCATATGTCCTTGAGACCAAAATGGGACACTGGGAAGGCAAAAATGTGTCAGGGTTATGTAATATTCCACATTCATGAAAAAGTCAAGATAACAAAAGTTTTATTACATGAACATATTGAGCTAACAATTATTTTTCAGTGACAGAACTCATACAAAAATTAAGGTAAACGTAGAGGGGGACTGTAGCTCACCACGATCATACCATAAATATTTCTCTAATGAAGTAATCGTAGGCAGCAAATTTTGGTTTTTCAACACCTTACCACAAAACTTCTCACACTCCATGACACATTTCTTTTTGACAACCACAATTTCAAACAGGGATTTTCAAACCATTTTCACAACATAATAGGGCTTTTTTTTAAAAAATGGCACAAAATTGGCATTTATATTAAAATGACAGGACAGTCTGGAAATATGAAAAAAACACAGTACTGTCCCATTTAAAACAGTACGTATGGTCAGCCTAAGCAAAGCCCCAGGTCACTATTTTACACACACACACACACACACACACAATCAGTTATTACATCTTTGCACAGACTATGTTTATGTGTGTGTACTATTTCCAAAAGCCAAACATGTTAGTCTAACATCATCAAGGAAATGTATTAGAGGAAAATAAAAAAGCTCTGATGCAAAAGCCATTAACTTTGGCTGAATTCTTAGTCTTTTTCAAAAGTACCTGCAGTGTAGTGCAGTTGTTTTGAGCACTCAACTATGATTCTGCAGATCAGGGTTCAAATCCCTGCTGAGCCATCGAACCCCCCTCTCTCAACCTCAAAGGAAGGCAAAGGCAAATCCATTCTGACTAAATCTTGCCAGGAAAACCATTTAGAGTTGCTCTAACTTGGAAATGACTTAAAGGCACACAACAACAAAGTTGTGTCAAGAGGAAAGCAAAATCATCTACAACAATATTGTAGAAATAATAATATTTTTTCAAAGCAGTTCAGGGAGCAGGGGACTTAATAATAATAATAATAATAATAATAATAATAATAATAATAATAATAATGATAATAATAATAATAATAATATTTATATACCACCCAATGGTTGTCCAATCAGGGCGGTTTACAACATAAAACACAATTACAATAAAAAACACAATCCCCCCCCATAAAACATTATTAAACAAATAACATGATTAAAATCCATTAACAATGAAAATTAATTAAATGATTAAAACATTCCACAATACCCTGCTTTTACGCTTCCAGGGGAACCATAGTTCAAAATAATGTTGCTGAGGGAAGAGGGGCAGGCCGGGGCCAGGACAATTTAGTCTGGAAAGGCCTGCTGGAAGAGATCCGTCCTGACAGCCTTTTTAAAACTGTCCAAAGATGTTAATTGACGGATCTTGTCCGGCAGGTCGTTCCAGAGCCTGGGGGCGACAACAGAGAAGGCCCTCTGGGAGGTCGCAGATAGCCTTGATCTTTGGGGTTCTAAGAAATTCCTCCCAGAGGACCAGAGCACACGGGGAGGATTATACGGGAGGAGGTGGTCTCTGATATAACTTGGACCCAAGCCACTTCATTTGTCTGCTGCCCTGGCTAGAATTACCCAAAGGATGCCCAAGAGCTATGTTCCCCAGAGCGATTTCTGTGAAAGTGTTGATAATCAGCAAACTAAAGAAAAGCTTTTAAAATAGTTAAAGAGCAACAGAAAAGTATAATTGTTCTAAACTTTCAAAACAGAGAGAGATAGAACCTTTGTAAAGGAATGCAAAATGATACAAAAAAAGCTACATTTGCAAAAGAAGGAATATATACCTTTGGTTTCATTTTTATGTTTCTTCCCAGTGATTTCCTGCAGGTTTACATTCAGTTGTGGACTTTGTTTTGTTCTTTCATCTCTCCTGGCCTTCTCCCTTTGCATCCTTTCCATATGCAGTGTTTTCAGATCTACTTTATCTGTACTGGCGCTGCTTACTCTCTCCTCAATGTGGCCAGATATCTCCCTTGGAGGACTTGGAGCCTTAGGGGACACTTCTTGTCCACAGGCCTTCACATCTCCCAGAGATACATTTGTGGCAGCAGTTTTCCTACGAATGCTTATGAATCTCTCTTTTCCTTCACCCAAACTTATATGTTGCAGCCCATATTCCTCTGCCAACTGGTGGATGAGCAGCCTGTCATGAGCATTTAATGATGAAGGAAAATCCAGTTGGCTCTCACTACTGTCCAGGAACTCCAGTATCCTTGCTTTATGTTTACACAAGTGCTCCTTCACTTCAGGACCTTCAGTTGTGAACCTGGCTGTATTTGGCACTGAGTGCTCTGTTGGTCTCTCTTCAGACTGTTTGGCTGGTTTTCTTTGTGGTTTCTCACCACCAGCTTTTGGGACCCCTGCTCTGTTGCATTTATATTTCTTTCCCTCACCACTGAGACTCTGAGAGTTTTTGGGTGCATAATTTTCTGGCACAATGTCATCCAGATATTCAAAGGCTGTGCGTACTTCCCCATGTTCGCTCATATAGCTCACCAGCCGTTTAAGAAAACTATGGTTTCCAGTGGTCCGAGAGTCACAAATCACAGCTACATGGCGTCGGGCACGGGTAAATGCAACATTTATTCTCCGGTCTTCAGCAAGAAATCCCACTTCACCTACATGTCACAAAAACGATCACCATAACTTCAGACACCAAACTATATAAAATAATGACAACAAACTATATAAAATAATGACAACAGTTCTGTACTAAGCATGATTGTTTTGAACCCAATTTCACTGTCTTCAATAGGGTTTCCCACATGAATTCACTGACGATAACAGTCTTAGTTTGTATGTGCTTACATTGTGTCACATACACTGCCTTAACAGTGCCTACAATTGTGAAATAGGTAATTAGCAGATACCAAGTATAAGCAACTACAAGGCATCAATGCATTCATCAAAAGTTGATACTGCTGATCTTATCATCATTATAGTAAAACTACATGAGATGTGAAGTTCTGGGGGGTGTTGCAGCCTCTATTTAATACCTAATTCTATACACAACAGTATGAAGAGTCTCCTCAACAAATGACATCTAATCTTAAATTAAGAAGATCAAATGCATCTAAAGTTGTTCACAATTCCTGGACACTGTCTTTACATGTGGAAATCATACCCTGTATACCATTAATTCTTGCTTTCAGTTTTCTGAGTGTAGTCATGGCACTCACTGGTCACACAGTAACTTTTGTTTGTCAACAGAACAGGATAACAAAAAACCTTCAGTAAGGTCCCATTTCAGGAGAAAGGGAAACTGTAAATTAAATAAATTAATTCAATTTGTCAAAAGAATAAGGAAGTTACCATGAATGGGATTTGCTTGGGCTAGCTTGCCATTAATTTTATTAGACTGATTTCTTTTACTCTCATGTCAGCACTTTCAAATCACCCTATGAGATCAATGAAGAACAGGTCCTGCAAGGAACCTGTTCTTTTGATATATATAATATATATATATTAGTTGCTTTGAGCATTAAATGTAATCCAAGTAAATATGTATACATGACTTTATCGCAGAGTTCAATGAGTTTAATTCATGCTTTAGGTTTAATAGGAAGTCCCACTGTTTTTGATGGTATTTACTCGCACACACACACACACACACACAAATGCACACACAGACATATATATATATAATATGTTTTGAAGAGATACTGGTTTATTTTTTGAGACTGCTTTGTATTTTTTGTTTTTTACTGCACTAGGAAAGAGGAGGAAAGGGTTAGGGTTAGGGCTAGGGTTCAAATATGGAATTTTCTTTCAAACACTAATGAGGGAGCTTTTGATGTATGAAAGTTTACACTTTCTGAAATACCTCAAAAAACCCTATGTAAATATATTTGATTGTAGCTGATGAATTAATTTATTTGTCAAAAGTTAGGTGATTAGAGATTTAATATTCTTTAGTTGGTTGAAGACTCTATATAATTATGTGGCTCTGGAATGGCTGCAATGTGCTTCATGATCAGTTGGGGGGGGGGAGTTGGAGAACCCAGCTTCATTCCATTTTATATTTCAATAAGGAAAACAGATTTCATTAAAGGGTAAAAGAAAGAAAATAAATAAAATAGATTATTGGGGCTGGATGAAAATTCATAAGCCACAGATGCTCATACTTGGTTCCCATGATTTTGATCTGGAATGCCAGAAGTAGAACAGCAGGGATATTCATATGGATGATCCAAGCTAATTCACTAAAGTTCACAACTGAAATGGAACTGGGCTGAAGATATAGGTCAGGACTGTATTTTCCAGCAGAAACCAGCAAGCAAAACCTTACAGAGCCCTGCAGCTATATTTTGCTTATATCTAGTTATTGGTGAACATCTAACTTTCATAAAGGTCATAAATAAAGATAGTATATGCTATTTTTAAAAGAAAACAATTAACCAACATGTGTGTATGAGTAAATGGTTATAAAATGAAAGTTCATATGAGATTTTTCCAGAAGCTATTTCTGATCTCCAATTACTTTCTTAAAGATCTATAATAACAGACAGCAAATGCCAAGATGAGTCAGCTGAGATGCTTAACTTGGGTGAGGGCTAATTTCTCTGCTCTTGAAAAGAAGCAGGAGACAAGTGGAAAAGAATACTTTAAAAGTAAATCAGGCAGCAGGGTTTGTTCCCACCATCTGAAGTTATACAACATGTCAGCACATAGTATACTGGTATACTAAAATGCATCAGTCACCAACCTGTACATATCTCAGGTTCCTATTAGTGTATGGAAACAATAATATGCTCTTATCTGATTACATTATTTTAAGACATAGATAGCAAGGCCAGGTCCTACTGCTCTGGCTCCAGTAACCACAATGGTTTTTGTCTTTTCCTATGATAGCAGAGGAGTAGGAGTGCTGATCATAGATGACAATAATTCACTATTTTAATCAAGAAATTGCAGCCAGTTTTAGCAAAAGGTATACCCACCTTGAAATTAGGCTAGCTTCTGACTCATTTTTGCAGTGGTCTCACAAGTATGTGGTTCCTTGAACTTTGCTGCCATGCAGAATTTTAAGCTAAGAAATTACAAAGAGCTGCCAATATATCCAATATGAATGGGCTTATATAGTATTTATTTATTTATTTATTTATTTATTTATTTATTTCCTACATTTATATGCCACCTTTCTCCCAAGAAGCTCAAGACTGCATCCTTGCAACGCTTTGAGGCAGGTTAGGCGAAGGGAGAGCTTGGGTTTATTTCTTAAGATAAAATGAATACAATTTTTTTATATATACTCAAGCACACATACATGTACACATCAAGTAGGTAACACTGTATTCAGGGGAACTGGGAATAAACAGCATAGCTGTGCAGTTCCTATCTTAACTCACAAATGTGTTCATATACACATAGAGATACAGAAACCTATCTCTAATGATCTTTGTGTGAAAGATTCTAGTTAAGATTCTGCTGCCTCTTCATTTTCAGTCAGACACTCTTCCCAAATTCATTTCAACCCTGTCCTGAAGACTGCTCTGCTTTCTAGCATATATGCATCTAGCTACTGGGTTTTTAGTAAGAGACCATGTACTTGGGCAAATCTTTTTCCAACCTCTCTGGAACAAAAAGTGCTAAGTTCTTGTTATGTATACCTATGCAACTATGGAAAAGATTATGAATTTTTCCACAAAACACATAAAATCTGCACACATTAGGAGAGAACACAAAATGGATTCCAATAACGTGGATTTTTAAACATTTTTGCTGCTACACACCACAACATGAAGAGGCTCAGCAAAAAGGCCTAAATT